AAAATTTTTTTCTGAATATCAATGAATCTATGAGTGCATATGGTTTTCCACTTCATGTACCATACCTGAGGACTTGGTACACGCTCTTTTCCCGTTCCAGGAGGACACCGTTGACAATTTTAATCCATAAATGCTCATGCAACTGCTTTGAAGACTACCACACTACCAGACAAGCTGTCCATCCTTCCACCCTCTCGATCATCAGAGAGTGTGTTCCATCTAACCCTTAGTGGCTTGCGCCTGTCCGTGCGCGTCAGGCATGACATCCCCCTACCTCACGACTAACCACTCTGGCATGCATTTGCCAACTGTTATCTGACAAGTTGACATTATTCACAGTTTAATACGTCCCACCATATAACATCCAACAAATACTCAGAGTCACAAGGTGCCTTACAGCTCTGCGGGCACTAAATTAGCCCTGTAATCCAACAATGAAAACCTTTATTTGAGCGCCAATCGTAGTCGTCGTGACGACTTGTACACCAAACAGCCGTCTACCAATGTGAAATCCCAAAATAGTCACTGCACATGCACCCTGTAATGTTAGTATTCAAAATTCCATCACAAACACAGCATCCAATAACCTCAGATGTTTTATTGTTCTTGCGGATCGTTTCGTCAAGACATGTTTTTTTATGCCCGCATAAACCTGGAATGATTCGAAAAAAAACGATCCTTACTTAAAGGACACTTCCATGATTGCGTTTTGTAGCACGAAAAATGGTGATTCTTTTTAGCTAGTGATAAATACCCTCCACTTCTAAAAGGGTTTAGCGCTTTTGATAGGCTATCACGCAGTGTTACAGGAGGTTTCCCATAGCTGGATAGATGCCCCGCAGTAGTTTATTGTGCAGTAGGCTACGAGTTGTATTTATCTGTGGAGATAACTCCAGGGTTGACAATGGCTAATCTCAATGCTGTAGTGGTTGCAGGATTGAGTTTTCCAAGTTACCATGCTTTTCGTGAGGTAGAACATTCATGCACGAAGGTGAGTAGTCTCCACTGCTTACCCCTCTGCCAAAGCATTTTTCAGGTTCTTTTCAAGCTTCAAACATCGAAGCATAAGTAATTCTCGTAATATGCTCATGATTATTAGTTCAGTGTTTCACAATCTTGCATTTATTCTGGGAGTGTCTGCAATGCAACGTTGATTAACATAAAATTCACTTCACACTGCGGGTCTGCTTGCAAATCACCTGTTCGTTTTCCAAAGTAACCGCAGCCCCTCAGTTGTGGTACACGTTACCAAGGCTATTTAAGCGTGTTGGGCGCGCCAGCATCATTCTAACGAAACAAAAATTAAGTTGTTTACATGTGTTCGCTATATAATTCACTAGGGCTTAAGCTCAGACTGATGCATAGTATCATCACACGCTGTTGAAATTTCTCCTTGTCGAATATGAAATATGGAATCTATCACATAGGAAACCAGACCCAGTGCTAATTTCAAGTGATTCGAAGCATCAATATTTTCAAATTCTTCATAAACAATTGGTTTATGGCAACAATTTCTCCATTGAGCTAGTAAGGCAACTTCGTCACAATCCATGTTGATCTTGAACTTCGCCTGCAGACTATATATAAATGGAGAAAAGCTCTGAGTTGTCTTTTGTCCATAATAAATATATTTCTTGTACTTTAGCCAAGAAAATTATTCCACATTGAAGGCACTTCACGATATATTACCTTCAAAGAGAACTCTCAGGTATTTGAGAGAGAATGAAATAAGCATAAACTGATTAGTTTAATAAGAAAACTTTAAATTTTCCGTCATACCTATGAGTTTTTCGAATTAAAATCTTTGCTTGGCTTAGTAGGCATCTCAAATAATGGAGTTACGCGTTGACAGAAGAAATCACATGAAAACAGATACTTCATAGCACAACGCCTCGCATCTGAGTTGTATATCATCGGTAGGAACCACCTCATATACGTCGAACCGATTCCCATCTCATACGCTTTCTTATCCTTGGAGCCCGCAAAGTGAGCTATCAATGGAAAAACGCGGCGTCCTATGTTTTGATCTGTGTCGTTGAGAACCAACTTGTGCGCTAATAAAGGTGGTGTGAGGAGGATGTGATTCATACAGAAAGTACCGCGTATTTTATCGCGTCTGGGAACCGCCAGCTTCGTGTAGATGTTCTCGCCGTGTGCAGCATACGCTCGCTTATAAAGCTTCCCCACGAACTGCGCATAGCCCCTGGCGTTAGTTAAGCTATGCGAGTGCCGGTACTCTGGCCCACCGGATGGGAGGTACTCGGCCCAGAGCTCGTCGTGCAAATGACAGACCTGGTCGATAAATACCAATGTTGCACTCACCTCAGCGTAGTAGTCCAACCCCAAAAGACCTGGGCGCATCCCGTAAGAGGACCGCGCCACACGCTGATCATGCACAGGCATTGTGAAGAGGTCCTGATCCACTTCCCACTCCAACAGATCCAAATAGAGCGAAATCAATGCGGATTGATCACAATGCCAGATGGAAGCGCCCTTGGTGGCCCCGATAGGGGTCCGTTTTTTCTTAAAAGTCGCTATCCCCTCTATCAGCTCCCTGTACGCCCACACTCGTGCAACCGTGACGCCTGCGTTGATCGAGGACATCAAGCTCGAGCCGAAGGAGGTACTAAGGCGATGCTCTGGATGCGCGGCAGCATACTTCCAAAGCTTTTTCTTGGAATCCTCGAAGCGCCTCAAGCAGCCATCCTTTCCATCTGGAATAGTTTCATTGGCCCAGCAGCCAGCCTCTCCAGAAAGAATAAGCGGTGCCATCGCACGACCCTGCCGCACAGCGAGCAAGTCTAGCTCCTCAGGCGCTGCGGCGGACTGCGTGATGAAACGCTCGAGAAACGGGTGAACGTCCATACCCGTGAAGAGCACGTCTGAATTGATGACAATGAGGACATCGTGTGGTCACAGTTTGGCATTCACGATGGCCTTTTCGACGAAGTCATACTTTGAAAAAAAACCACGAAACGTCGTCTGATAGCCGGCCACCACCACGGGTACTCCGCTTAAGTAGGCTGAGGCTGTGCAACGACAGAGGGCCTCATCGGCTTTGTTGCTGCTAATTACGATCAGCGTATTTGATAGTGGATGCGGGATGACACGATCCTCTTGATCGTAGTGGGTAACGAGCGTAAGTTGTCTGGACACCACACATGGGGCTCTGTCTGAAACATCTTGAAGAATAAACATCGCTGGTACTTACACCACCTCAGAAACATTCCTCCCTGGACACTCACGAAACGCGAATGTGGAACACTTTGTGTAGATATCGTAGCTCGTAGCGCGCTCGTAGAGAAAATATCAGCCCCAGCGCAAAAGCGCCCCCCTAAAGAAATTCGATTTACTGCGAAGTTCCATCACAATAATATCACATTGAGGAAAGTAACCGGGTGGTGTATCGTTCAGTGACATAGTATTGACGATATGAAAAAAATATGCAATGACTAAAAATAATTAAGCCTCAATGCATTAAAACTGCATCGGAACGATTTCGAATTTACGTTTTGATCCTGTACTGCTTTCATCGCTCTGATTTCTGTCCTCCCCACAGAACTCACGTTTCAATGCATTGCAAAGAGCAATGAAGGGAAAGGGGTTACATGACTTGTCAATGCTTCGTAGTGACGCTCCGTTGTGAACGATTAGTAAAAATTATGCCAGTATTCCACTTCAAAAGGCATAGCTGTTCGTGCAACTTTATGAAAGAAGATGCCTAGGCGCAAGGAAAGAGCCGTCGTCATTGTTGTCCTAAAGGCCGGTATGACGCCGGCCCGGAAACGCGGAATGGGTGCCGTGAAAACGACAAAAGATAATCTTAACAATAATACTTGCTAAGCTTGATTCAACAGGATTTCAATTACAATAGCGGTCAGCAAAAGCTATTACTGATCACTAAACGACATACAAAGGGAAAATAACAATCCCTAGC